AAAACGAAAAAGCGCCTAAGGGTCTTATGGAATTTGATGAATTAATTCTCATTTGAAAAAGAAAAAAATTCAAAATTATTTTTGACGCTGAATGAAAAGAGATTGCGTAAAACTATGTCGATAAGGTGGTTGTCCCTTTTTGTATGAGACAGAAAAGAATGTATTCTTCCTCGATTGAAAAGTCATCTTGACTCTAATCTCAATTCCTTTGTATTTTAATGAATGTTTTGCTATTGTCCTACGAAGAATTCGCGCTTTCGCTTTGATCTGAATGAATATAAAGAGAGACCATTACCGATGAGTCGAAGTATCGAGAAATCGTTCGACTTTTCACTTCCTTTAACAGTCGCGTTTTCAAATAGAAGCGAAGTTATACTTCGCATTGTCGTAATATACAATATTAACGCGAACAGGCACATCGCGAAAGTAATTGGATCGCGCGTGTCATTTTCTCCGTGTTTTAACCGACTTTCAATAGAGTATCAATCATGCGTTATCGACCTTCCTATAATGATCCACTTCTTTGCATGAATGTCAAAGAGAAAGCGATGTGTCGTGATGTGCTGCACAATTTTCTATCAGTTTTTATCATACAATTTTATATTTAATTACCTATATATTAACTGTACATATTTGTCTCATTGTGATGGTGTTCAAATCAATTAATATAAGCCTTTTAGCCTTAGTCATACTTTCTATAGACTTTTTTTTCTTTCTCTTCTTTATGAATAATATTTTTCTAATCTATTTTATTTGTATCGTAAGGAGATATTTGAAATAAGCAGAAAAAATTCATTTTTTTAAAACTTTCTTCTTTGATGTTGCGAAACTCTTATTTAATTTTTATAACCACAGTTATACATGTGAGAATATATTTATAGAGTATGCGAGAAATACTTCATCAAATAAAAATTTTAAATGAATAGACATGAGCAACATATCGCATCATATTGTTAGAGAAATCCATACGCATCGATCTTATCTTTAGAGAAAATGATTACGCCTTATGTTAGTCAATAGTTTACTACTTTAATTACATATAAATTTAAGATTTGCTAAAAATTTGCAACATATTCGGTAAACAACTTTATACATTAATATGTATAAATATGTATAAACATTATATCTAAATATTCATAATATAATACATATAATAATATATGAAATAATAATATATGAAATATGTTCATACATATTTATACATCCCTTTTTTTTTGTATTTTTTAAATGTAATAGAAATTATTTTTTAATGTAATAGAAATAACAATAGTAATGTAAAAACATAAAAAATAATTAAAGGGACAAATTTTCGCATTGTTCGTTTTAGAAAAAAACAAGTTTGGAAAAATTGCTCATACACAATTATGCATAATTTTATATATAATTATACATGAGTAACTTTTTTACATTTCTTCAAACTTTTTTTTAAATAAATAGTGAAAATTATCCTTTTAATTATTTTTAACGTTTTCACATTACTCTATTGTTATTTTTATTACACTAAAAAGTAATTTTACAAAAGAAGGAAAGATGTATGAACATAATGGACATATTTCATATAAAATTATGTATGTTTATACATATTTATGCATGAAAAAGTTTTTATCGGGATATTTTATAAAAACACATTTTTCTAAAATAAGAAAAAAATATCTTTTTATAAAAAATGTTATACAAAATAATATTAAAAAGCATGTTATTTCGATAAAATAACTTAACCTAAAATAACTTAACCTAAGGATTATATATTCTGAGAATATTATAATAGTTTAAGGAAAAAAAAGAAATTTAACACTGGCAATTATATATAATGATTAATTAGTTATTAAAATCACTTATTAGTGATTTTAATGCTCAAAATAAATAATTTTAATTACTACTTTTCAGAATTAAATTTCTGTAAGGAGAAATGCCAATATTTCATTACATCCTTCTACAAATATTTAATGAATTAGTATTTAATTTTATTAATCAAATTTAAGTGAATTAATTACATTGAATATATTTTATAATGTCTCAGTTTGTATGTAGGCATCTCAATCCTTGAACATATATCCAGATATCCTTGAAATTAAATCTTGTTATACGAATTATTTATATTTATTATTATTTCTTAGACCATTGCTTATTTCGACATTACTTGTTTGCTCTCTGTCCGAATAATTGAATATAAAAAGAAGTGCCTACAATAAATAATTAATACATAATTAATTATTTATTGTAGGCACTTCTTTTTATAAACGTAATTTGTGAATCTATTAATAATTTCTATTTCATGCATATACCTCGATTTAACATTTCACATTCGGACGATTGCATGTCGAAAAAAGTTCAAGGCTGATGCCAGGATATAAACAGCTGATTTTATTCTGTCATTTCACATCATTAATTACAAAATACAATATTCATATTTATGATTTACGATATAAATATTATTCTAAATTATATTCCTTGCTTAATATTACTATTATTTTTAATGAAATAAGAATTTAACTATATATTTCTTATTCTAAATATTTTCGAGTGTTATCTGTTGTACATTAACAATTAATATTTATATACGTCACGATATAAAATTAATTATTATTTATTTTATATTGTATAAACAAAATTGAAGAGTTGATCAATAATTGTAAATTTACTTTTCTCGCATTAAAATTGTTAAAATATACGATTTGAATCGATTAAATAAAAAACTATATATTTTTATGATAACTGTATGTAATAATTTGTAAAAAGGCTCGGGTCTATCTCGAAACGCCATATTCTGTTAGAGGTGAGCAATAATTACGTGCAATAAACAAATTGCTTTATTTTTGTAGTATTCTTTTAAATACAATTTTATTTTTAGTTTTTTTTTTAAAAACATAATAATTTTGTAATCATAAAACTTATAAAATATACGGTAAAGTAAAACACCAACACACTGTCCGATACAGCACAATAGAAATGTAAAACAATTCCTGTAATAATGTATAATTTTTCAGTTGTTAAATATCATTGCAGTGGTTTTTGACAGCTGAGAAATTTAACATTATTTAAAAAAAAAATACTCAAAAAATTATAATATATATCTTTTTCTTATTTATATTTATTAATTGGCATGATTGCTAAAAATGTAATTATGATTTAAAATTTTGCAAAAATATTATTACTAAAGAAATTTATATCAAAATATTTTTGAATTTTATTTTAATAATCAGTTTTATTGTTAACAACAAATGTAAACTTAAGTAAATAATTTAAATCGAATAAGAGAGAGATTTTGAAAAGAATTCATTTATATAAAAAAGAATTTATTTCGACCTTCATTTCATTTTACTTCATAACTCCTTGAGAGATCCTTTCTCTTTAATTCGTAGCTACAGACTTCTTTTCTTCTACTCTCCGACTGCATCGAAACGATGCTTTCCATTATGAAACCCCATGCATTTGGGAATTAATACGTTTATCTCATGAAAAATGATTCAAGGCCATATTTGCGTTAAGCGATTCTGTTTCATTTCATGCACGAAGAATCAACTTCGATCTGCGGGCAAAAATTTATTCAGGATCTTTGCATTATTTATAGTTTAAAATATCGATACACGAATTTATCGGTCAATCGACAATAATTATAGCAGCAATGAGTGCGGAAAAAGGAGTTCAGTGGATCTTATTATGCGGTACTCATGCAGAAAGTAAAGAAAGATCAGTTAACGATTGATCTGACAAAAATAATTATTGTCTTATAGTATCAAAATAAGTTCTTGTATCTATTAAGGTGTGTATTCACACATCAAAGGAATATTCGGGAATTTGTTACCCATTTGTTACCCATTGTTGCTAGAGACAAATGATTTTAACAACTAGTAGGAACAATTTGTTTCCACCGAATAAACTCAATTTGGAGGAACATTTTAGTTTTGCTCTATAATTCTAAATTCGCACGACGACCGATTCCAGACAGCATACATGTCCAAGATCGAGACATAAGATATTTTAAAGACGTCAATAATAGTCATTGAATGCACTCAGTATATGCGCACTAATGCACATTAAAATCACATAAGTAGAAATGTGTATTTAATGTAAATATAAAAACAGATTAAACCGTGAAATCCTCAAAATATTTTATGTAATGTTAAATAAAATTTGTATTTTATACCAATTCGAAATATTGGCTGCAGTTTACTTTTATACAGATTAAATCAGAGGGATTATTACAGTTCTTCAGACGAAGTGAAAATTACAAAAATGAGCAAACTTATTAGGTGTTAACCAATAAAGTTAGAAATATTCTAGTAAATTCGATCACTTTCGTAATTTTCACCTCGTTTCAAGAACCGTAATAAGCCTCTAGTGTACAATAACTTTAATATGCATTAGTAGGCACTAGTGCGTCCAATCAAATTTGCTATAAGATATCTTTTAAACAAATTTAAAAAACTTCCCGCAAAATACAAACTAATAATAACATTACATCAATATTATAATTTGCTACTCAATAATATAACTGTTATGTACAACACGTGTTACATTATATTTATATTATTGAGTAGAAAATTATAATATTGATGTAATGTTGCTGTCAATTTGTATTCTGCGGCTTTGTAATGACGTCTTTAGGACATATTATACCTGTCTAGGATCGTTCATGTTTTCTCAAAGATTCAAGATCGTTACTGCGGAGGATCGTCCTGTCCGTTCACTTTTATGATCGTTCGTCTATCGTTGTCCTGGTCATTCGATTTATTTTTCACATTGGCGACAGTAACGGTAGTGATGGCGATTGCAATGGTGATAGGCAACGGCAGCGGCGGTGGCAATTGCGACCGGTAACGATGGTGGTGGTGGTGACGGTGGCGGATGGTGGCAATCGCGTGGTGGTGGTCCCGCATTCTGGCGAAAGGGAAAATACCTGGTCGAGTGGCTCTTTTTTTTTTCTTTTTCCCCCCCGGCTAGCGAGCGGGATTTTTGACACGGCCGACGTCCGATCGTACTTGCATTTGTCTCGGAGCACTCTATCCGATCGTCGTCCCCGAACAACGTCCCTCGTGCAACGAACGCGCGAAAAATCGGCGCATCCAAAAATGCGTCACGTGCAACGTCCCATCTGACCCGTCTGACCTCGTCGTCTCGCTATCGCGCGCGAATTCTGTGATCTCGTGCGAATCTTTTCTCTTTTCTTTTTATCCTTTTCTCTCGGAGTGCCGCGTAGAATTGAATATCAAGTCCGTGAACTTTTACCTCGGTCGTTTCGAAATTTCGATCGAAGAGTGTCGCTCTCGTCCGTGTTTTCGGCAGGAAATCGCCGCGCCGATTTATTTATTTCTCCGATTTGCTAAAGTTTCTCTTTGGTTTTAATTCGCCATCGGAGAAAGTATTACGGATTGCCGGGGCGAATTGTGCTGTGGTGGCTCGGAAATGAGACATAGGATTAGACACGACTGAGCAGCTGCAAGGTGAGCGTGGAAATCCGAATTGTGTGCTCTTCTAATTGTGTGCTGTGCCACGCGGAACTTCCGCAACAAGTGGATTTAACTTCCGTGCACAAATTTCCGTAAACACGCAGAAAAAATAATTTTTCTATAAATTCAATTAGATACAGGTCTAAAAATAATTTTATTGTACCATAAGAATAATTTGTAGAAAACCCAATGCATAATGCAAAAAAATTTAACATTCTAGCAACCAATTTGAGCGTTCTACACAGTTATATGGTTCAATAAAATTATTTTCAGATCATTTAGTTAAATTGATTTTTTTTCTATACAGTAAGCAATTTTTTTATTTACTATTGCTTACATTATTATATTTTCTCAATCTGTGATTGACCCATTCGCTTAATGCTTACGTTTTATTCACATTTCTTGTCTGCTATAGTATGTATCCGACGATCATTTATTTTGATCCTTGTTAACTGATCGCGTGAAAATGAGATAATGGAGAGGCAATAATCGAAAGACTCATCTTTCAATTATATTCAAAAGCACGTGTTTGCTTTTGATTGATAATTCATTATTGTAATAATTACGACAATTTGTCGTTGTTATAATTCGTTCATTTGCGCTCGTCGCGGTTGATTCTCGCCGTGGATTGCAAGAAGTGGCCCAGAAGAGCGAGCAGCATTAACGAACCGGACTTGGAATTAACTGACCGATACAACTCGGCAGACCACTTTCACGTGCGCAAATCGCCAGATGTACGACCTCCGTTTCTTACGTAAAACTCGGGCACCCGTGTAATCATAAACGACTGTTCAAATGTCGAAAACTTCTTATTTCCCTCGAACGTGTCGTTTCTGTTGCAATTTCACTTGATGACATTTTTACGATCGGACACGAAACGGACGTTCGACTTTAGACAAAATTAGTTTGTACTCTAGTACCTGATGATTTTATTAGCTCGCACTTGCAAAGTGTACCGAGAGAAGAAAATGAGGATAATTGAATGTAACTTTTTAGGATAATCGTATGTCTTTCATAACTCATGCCGCATATTTGGTCTCGAATATTAAATACATACAAATTATTAACACACACATTTTACATAACTATGTTAAGGCATGGCAAGTCTTCTAATTAAATTACCGATTTTATTTCTTGTTTTGTAAAAATAGATTTATAGAATTTGAAAGTTAGGTAGTTTCTAAATTGAAACAAATCTAAATTTAAAAAATATCTAAAATATCTTTCAATATTTCTAGTATTTTTGGATGTTTTCTATGTGTTTATTGTATGTTTATTATTATAATATATTTATCCATAATGACTTATAAAAATATAACAAGTATATAAAAGATATCTGAGAAATACTAAAAGTGTGGAAGATTTTATTTTATATATATATATATATATATATAAGTATGTATATATAAAATACTTCTATTTTATATATACATATATGTATACGTATATTTAGTTGGTCGCATGTGCGTGAGTTGTACGTGTTACAAAATAACATTCTTAAAACAGCCGATACAGTATCACTGATCGCGTATACGGCACGAAAAGAATTTACTTTCTATCGACGCAAGTACGAACGGTCTATGAAAAATTAAAGCTGTTATTTTGATTACGAAACCTACGTCACTTAGTTCTAGCATGTAAACTTATCGCTTCTTTACCTTCACGTAAAAAAAAAAAAAAAACGCAACCACAAATATTTGTCTTCATAAAACTGTTCGACTCGTAACAAGCATTAAGACTTCGTTCAAAGGAAATTGCTCGGTTTTCACGTGCTATTTGCTATTAGCGAGTATCTCGGATATATAGGAGAAGTCGTAACCGAGTATACGTTTTGCATTACCGTAGAACTGAATGGAACAAATGAATCGTCTCGGAGCGATGGTAATTCATGCACTACAATCATCGAACCATCCTTGATACTGATCTTTCTCCTCTCGATCCTCCTATGATGCTTCCATTCATTCATGATAAATGTGTATAAGAGAACGATTGTTTATTATAATAAAATTTTGTTTTTTTTCGCAGAAAAAAAATATATGTAAATACGTTAATAAAAAGTATATAATAAGTATATAAATAAATATTTATAATATCTTGAAATGAGAAAGATGTAAAATGAAAATACCGATTAATTTGAATCCTACTTTGTGCTCAATATCCAATGTAGAAATTTCATATGTTAAACAACATTTTAAATATAGACTCAATAATTTTTATATAGTTTATAATAAAATTTTTTGTTATGATATAACAAATTTGACACAACGAGAGTCTCTCATTTTTCTTTTTTTTTTTTTTTTATCGAATACACATTTGTGCAGTTTTCTATGCAACACAGAAACTTACAGCAATAGTATTGCAACGTTTGCAATGTTACTTGCGATATTGCTGAACGTGTTATAATATTGCCATAATATTTTTAGAATAATTTATGCTGTATGAGATTTAAAAGTTAGTGAACCAGAATATTTACAACGGGGGAGGGACAGTATCGCCTGCGCTGCTTCGAAAATAACAGCGCAGTAAATAGAAACTCACAACCGACAAGAGTAAAAGTAAATTTGAGCAACGCAGGCAATGCCGCCTTACGTTTGATTCATACATATGTGTATCGACCCAAGTACACTCGGTGTGCATATTGGAAAGCTCATTTTCAATTCGTATTAAAATCAAAAGTTTGAATTCGCTGATTTGGTATAAATATCACGATGCAACAAAATGCCATCTTTGTAAATAAAGTGACTGTTTACTTATTTTTATAAATGTAATGTTATGACGACTATAAAAAAGATTAATTGGAATTATATTATTTTTATCATTAGTTTTTATTTATTATTTTAGTAATCTTCTTAAAAACAGAATCGATTTAGTTATATCTTATTAAAGTAAAAAAGAATTACATCTCGAATATAGAAATTTACATAACAATTGATGAATTTATACAATTATTTCTGAAGATATTAAGCATTTGGAAATTAAAAATATGACAGTCGAAAGAAATGATAAATACAAACACAATAATGTAGCCTTGGATATAATCAGAATATTTATAATAATTATTATTCTCGAATCGATACATCGACAATTATACGTTTTTAATTACAACAAATTTTCATTAAAAACATATTAATATTTAATTCTCTGTAAATATATGCGTATTCCGTTACACTGTAATTTATGATGTCAAATTGTAGTTATTTTTAATCAAGTGAGTTATCTTTAATTTCTCAGCAAATTTAGTTTATTATTTACTAAGTGCATTAAATTGAACGTTGTTTACTTGAAACTTGAAACTAATTACGAAAATAGATTAAATAGAATACATTTTGACATACATGGAAGTTAAAAATAATAAAATGTTATTTAACTAAAGGGATTTGGTTACCATTTTCTTTTAATATCTAACGCTCTTTTAATATCTAACGGTGTAATTAAAATTTTCTAGTATTTTCAAAAATTTTAAAAAGAGTTTCTTGATATTTTTCAGAATGGCAAGGACATTTTTATTGAGCTTAATCGTGGCGTTGCTGCTGGTCTTCGCTCTTACCGAAGCTTCTCGCGGACAGACTAATCAGGTAATTTATTATCAAAGTATATAACTGTACTTTATATATATAAACGATGATACGTAAGAGATATGAAAGATTTATCTTTTTAATTTAACACGTGTAATAAATAATTGTTTCATAATTATATAATAACATATAATATAAATATATTGTAAATTATAGCGTATATTTTTTATTAAAAGATTAATTTTAGATTTCAAAGCTAAATTTTAGAATTATTCAGAAAGGAAAAAGTTATTTATGCGTACACATTCATTATTAGATTCAGAAAGCGAATAAATGGTAATTTTAAATATAATACATCATCCTCTAAAGAATATATAATATATGAACTTCAATTTCCAACTCTGCGTTACATGAAATACGTTATGTAACATAAAGCATACGTGAAGACGCAAATTAAAGACAGGGATTTAAAAGAGCATAATCATCTATAAATTAATGCACACGAAATACACGTATGAAGAGACCGACAAGATCCGCGTTCGCACGTGTTTTGTGTCAAGGATGCGCGTTTGATATCGAGCGTTTACGACATTGCAACGTGCGCGCATTGTTTTTTTTCCTTTTTTTTTCACGAAGGCCGTCGACCCAGCGGAACGAGTCGATTCGTATTATTCGACTAAATCGCACGAGTGCAGTTGCACGCGGTGCACGATGCTCGGTAATTAGAAGCCGAGAAAGGAAGCAGTTCCTTTACTAGATGCGATTATTTGTATATAACAATGAAAAAGAAAATCTTTGCGAATGATTCACATTTCGCTTCTTATTCGATTAAATCGCACATCACGATTTAATTTAAACACAACGTCGTCTTATATTGTTTCAATTGTACGAGATATTCCAAGATTTCACTTTGATGACAAATTCCTTGATTGATTTGTAATTTTCTTAAGCAAAAAGAGATTTTAATAGCTTCCGTGTTATTAAAGATTTAGGTCGAAACTTCCGAGAAGTTTAATTAAAAAGCAGAAACTTATTATTTACTTAAATTCAAAATTTACTTCCTTTAAATTTTAATTTGCAATAAAATTCTCTGATTTGGCGATAAACACACACATTAACGAGTTGTACGTCAAATGACAATCGTCCTCTTTTTAACATTTTTTTAAAACTCGATATTACATTTGTGTCAATAAATTTGTTATTAAAATTAAGTTCAAGTGTAATCATCTAAAACAAGTTGCTATAGAATAAGAATCATTTTTTAAAACTCTACAATAACATTCCTTTGAAATTTACATTGAAAAATTATAATTTATACATTTAGAACGTGACGATAATGAAAGCAACGATGTCACGTAAAAGAGAAATTAGAAATAGTTTGTGACTTGTCAACATCAATGAGTCATTCGTCTTTCCCTCTCGATCGTATACTTGGATGTCCAGATTCCAGCTATTCGTTTTGCATTCGCCTATAATAATACGATTGCCAGGAAGATCTCGGACGCTTTCGCCGGCTCTTTCACAGTAAAAGTTGTTGAAACGAGTTTGTAACGTACAAGAATATAGGTATAAGTATAATCGTTCTTCCGATCAAATAAATCTATTAAAAGAATTCAGATTAGCATATATTTTTGATTATATTATCATAAAGCTTGATCGTAAATATTAGTTAACACGTACATCGGAAATTACTAGCAAGACTCAAAGTCGTGAAAAGAACTTTCCCAACATTTCAGCTCGCGTGTTACTATAATATAACTTTTGTTAAATAATCTGGAAGAATATAAGATTATTATCGTTTAATTTTTAATTTAAATGGAACATTAAAAATGCTTAGAATATAAAAAAGATATAGCGCTGCTTTATACAATGTATAATAATGATTGCGTAATATAATATTAATTATTATTAATCTTTCGTAACTTCAGGATGTTATTTAATCATAAAAATATTATAAAAGTACAATAATTTTATGAGATCAAATTTAGCTCGTGAACTAAGAACAAAACTTCACAAATTCTCTCTCTATCACTTTTTAAATGTTTTATTTGAAAAAGATAAACAATAAAGTACATATTTTTATCAAAGTGAATATAAAACTGTGAAATCAACAATTTTTATCATCTTTTTTAGTCTTTTCATTATAAAATCTATTATATCTATCGTATGTACATTAACTTCTTCATTTGATCGACTTTCGCATCAAGATGATCATTTATTATCATTATCTATCAATCAATAGACATACGACCACGAATAATGCAGTTGAAGCTTAAGCGAACGGATTCGATACGCATGAACTTCTTGCTATTCCTTCATACTCAGTTTTATGCAACAATATTTGCGACAGAAATATACTTATATATGTGTGTATATACGATAGAGGAAAATTTTTAGAAATTTTGTTGGAACAAATTTATTAATTTTTATAATATAATAATAATAAACTCATAAAAAAAATAATAATGATTAAGACTTAACATAAATATTCCAATTTCCAGACTACTGTTCGTTATATATTGTTCTAATTCTGATAGAAACTGATCCTATTCTGTGCATTATCGTCGTAAGTAATATAATTGCAGTTCTTGTGTTTATCAAACGTACAAGCATTTCACGCACCATTCTAGATATCGAGGCGGCGTAGATATAGCATAGAGAACATATAAATGGAGTGAGAGGATAAGAAGAAAAAAAGAGATCGCAAGTTTGCATGGACCACGCCTAGTCGTGCGCCGTTCGCTTAGAGAACGATATATACCGCGTGATCAAAAATATCTGTCTCCCATGTGTTTGTCCTATTTTCGTAATGTTACAGTTTGATATAGTATTATAATTATAGTGGAATATTATAAATAAAAAATAGAATATAATTGAATATAATCGATTATATAATGAAAGTCATAGCTCTATGTCGTCAATTGTTAAGCAGGTATTAATCACAATTTTAATTTAATGACCTATTTAATAATCAAATTATTTAAAAATACTTTCCTCTTATTCGTTATATTTACTAGACGAATATAACTATTATTGAATATAATAACTACAAAGTAAAATATAATTAAATACAATAATGTTGTTAATTAATTATTTATCAATTATGTCAAGTAGGTTGTACTCTAATCTCAATATATTTAATTATTTATTTAATAATTTAATTATTCAAAAATATCTTTTCTCTTTATTTGCTCGTTTATAATTAAATATAGTAAGTAAAAGTAAAAGAATATAGTTAAATACAATTTATCAGTTCTTTTCTGACAATCATCAAGTAGAACTGTATTAATCACGATCTCCTTAATCATCTCTTTAATAGTCTAATTAATCAAGAAGTCAACACGAATATTCCGAAGGGAATTAATATTGTCGATGCTACCTGATCGTTAAGTTCTAGATTGGACAATTTCGTTTTCATTAGTATTCGCAATTACCTGCGCCTAGCGAGGCAACGCGTATTCCTTCGGTGAACGTAAGCGCGATGTTGATAATTATTCCGCTGTGTGCACCGATGATCATAATCTAATAGAAGCAAGAGCGAGATGATTTTCTTATAGATTTAATAACGTTACGTAAGACAAACATTTCTTATTCCAGGATAATTTTTTTTTATCATTGTGTAAGTGGCTTCTTACAAAGCGTCGTCAACATCTTTCGTTTCATCATAATAATGGATAATTTATGTAACGGTATGAAGATCTCGCGATTTGTAAATCGTCCCGACAGAAATCGGCACATAGTTCAAGGCGGACGCCTCTTACCATGTCATATGTCCTTAACTGTTAATATCCTCAGGAATGTAGTTTAATAGATCATTCCTGAATTAAACACGGAGATGTACTCGGAATAATTAAGATAACGCTAAGATATCGAAACAGATTTTTTTGCATATTCATTATAGTTTAATATTACAATGAGACTATAGTTTCATCAAGTAGTTACACTCAAGTAAAATCATCATGATTGTTATTACTTATTTGTTACTTTATAAGTTCATTTTTAAGTAAATGACGTCATGATGACATCCTATAATATTATTATGATTTAATTACGATTTTGGACTTTACCTGGATATTACTTTTCTATTTATCTCTGATTTATTATTATTTTATAATTTATTATAACTAATAAAATTAAAAAATATATTACACTGAGTTTGCACGTCTTTTATACATGAGCGAAAGTATTTAAATCATCAGTGAGAGTCAGTCCGATTTTGTCGATTTCTCGAATTTGTTTCTTGATCCGCTACTTCCGAATGAAGTGTCAGAGCCACTGATTTACATCGCACTCATTTCTACTAATGGATATAAGTCGCGAGGCCTACTTTCTTGCCTTCGTTTCTTTCTCGATAGACAGTTGGTGCGAGGCCTTTAATTAGAAAAGCAAATTACACAATATAGTAAAACATTGCGATCGATATCTAACAAACATTCGTTACGTATGTCGTAGTACTCTTTGGTCGAAGGAACTCTTTATAATTTAACTCTATGATTAACAATCGACATTTCAGCACTGCTTTCGTTCAATCTCGAAATGTGCTCGCGCTACGCGGTTGCGTATATCATATCACGCTAAATGCGCGCCTATGATGCTTTATTGCGTGTACAAGTACACAAACACACGCCGACAAGTGTACGTCGCAGACGGATGTAGCACGTTGCACAAGCGTGCGCGAGTGCGATCTAAATCGAGTTTTCCATCGGAGAAAGCGCTTCTTCTGCATCGTTTACCTCAGCAGACTTCCTGATTTATTTGTCATATCTCGTACTCCCTGTCTCGTCTTTATTTACTCGAACAGCTTCGTCTAGTGCGAAGAGATTAAGATGCACATCATTAATACATATATTGCAATCGAACTTTATCCGATAGTGTTACATGGTACTATACTAATTGGATGACTGTTACGATACATTAATTACGCTAAGAACACAAGAGAAGCGAACAAAAATGGGACTAATTATATTCTACAAAGTTAATGGAATGTCAGAAATAACGTAAAACTTACCTAATTTTTCTATGAAAGAAAATGGGAAGGGAATTTTATATTAAAGATACCA